GCGGCCTCCCCCGGCGCTGCCAGTCGGGGAGGGGGCGGTGGTTCGGCAAGGCGCGGTGTTCGGGGAGCCTTGCGTAGGCAGGGAGGGGAAAAAAACCCCAAGCTATCGCTAGGGTACGTCTTAGTCTAGGCACAACAAGTAGGCGAGATGCAGGATGTGGTGGGAAGAGGGATTTGGTGTTAAAACGAGCGTAGTTTTGCAGAGCAGAAGTGCAGACTTCCTTGGATCTAGATGGAGAAGTTGCGAAGCCTGCGTAGATCAGGGACTGCCAGTCTTTCTGCCCGTGTCGTGTCTATACCAAAACCCTTTGTGGGCAGAATGAAGCTATGACTTTGTAAGCTTTTCTTTTTGAAAATGGTTTTGGGGAGAGCTTCCTTCCCGTTGTGCTTCTGTAACTCTCTATTGAGCTGGTGGCCTAAACTGGGTTACTTTGAACGCACGCTTCTCTTGCTCAGTTCGTTGCTTGGCCTGACAGTTTTATTAGCACAACTAAATTAGCAACACAAGAGTGATTAAGGAAGTGATGATGTTCTAGGGCTAGGTAAGCCAGCAGTGTTGTTGGAAAAATTATCTTCTTAAATTGTATTTCAGAAGTGACATGACAATTACTAGAAGATTGCTTTAGATGGTGGCACACCGTGGCACATCGTGGTCCAGAGATGGCAGTAGTTTACTGAGGCTCTTGTGAAGTAAATGTGTTTGGGTGAAACAGGCAGCAGAGTCCTCGGGAGTGTCTTGTTGATGTCAGCTGAAGTCTGTGGGCTGTTTTCCTCTCATAGCTCATAGCTTGTGTTTATTGATCAGCAGTCTTTGGTACTGCTGATATAAAAAAAATGAATAGTCCCAGCACAGAAGCTGGCAGAGAATTGTGCGCGGCTCAAGAGCTGCAGTTCAGATATTCTTATGTATGTTTTTCTGTTGTGGAAGAATTTCAGACAACAGAGGATTTGTACAGAGTCTTAAATCCTATTTTTGACAGTTATTTCTCAGATGAAGGCTGCAGTTTTAGCTTTAAAAACTAGCACCATGCTATTAACAACCTTTTTCAGTCAGTTTTATTATTTCAGTGACAGAATCATGTTTTATCACTTTTATCTTTTCACAACTGATATGCCTGAAATGACAGGCAGATTCCCATCCTCTAATCCATCAAAAGAGCTGTTAATTAGAATGGGTCAATCATTTTGTTAGTTTAAAATGGAGAAGAGTATGCCTGTCTGGGTGCTAGTGACCCTTAATTTGTTTATCTGCAGAGTTTTTTCTTTGTACGGCTTAGAAGGAAACACGGGATAACCTTTAGATCCTGTGTTATGTTTGCAAGATAGGCATCTTAAAAAAAAAAAAAAAAAACAATTCAGGAAGATGTTAAATGAAGCAGTAATTACTGCAGGTGGGTTTTTTTAATTTGTCCGTGTTTTTTAATACATTTAATGTCTTCTTTATGAGAGGAGGAAGCAAATTCCTTTACTTGCTTGCAGAATCAAAATTTAGCAGTGTAATGTTTTTGCTTTTTGCTTCTCAGTTTGCTCATAAGACCTGTAACTTCTTTTTGCAGTAGCTTATGCCCTTTAATGAAGTATCTGATCCCTGAGGTGATCTGTAGTTTAATCTGCAGTTTAGAAATGCCTGTCTAGGCAAAGATTTTTCTCTGATTTCTACCTTAGAGATTTTTGTTGATGAACTGGGTATTGCAAGCAGCTGTAGGAATATAGAGCTGCTTCTGTAGATGCTTTTGTAGTACAAGAGATGGCATGTTTGCCTTACAAGGTTTGGCCTTTTGGAGTAATTTTTCTTTTTTTTAATAGACAACATGGCAAGCCCGGGTAAAGATAACTTCAGAATGAAAAGCTACAAGAATAATGCACTTAATCCCCAAGAAATGCGCAGACGAAGAGAGGAGGAAGGAATCCAGCTTCGGAAACAGAAAAGGGAAGAACAGGTAAGTATCTTGGTGAGCTGTTAACTGTTAAGTGCTTGTGAAGCTAAATTCAGATATGCTAAAGGACTTGAGGAGATTCCTCCTGTGGAGCAGAACCCAGAGCGTCAGGTTGAATGTCTGTTTTCTGTGCAATCTTGGGGAGCACCAGGCACTTCTCAGCAGGACCGTAAAACAAGATTAAGTGAACAAAAGCCGTCTTAAGTCACTAGGGCACACAGAGGAGAGACCCATGTCTTAAGTTTAGTCCTTAGTCTAGTTTTAAACATGTATGACTGGGCTGAAAGGGTACTCTTTATTTCCAGTAAGGGTTAGAAACCTTGCATTCTCTTCTAGAGTTTGGCCCAAAGTTGTACTGGTAGGAAAGAACTATTTTTGTCTTTGAAGCCATCCTTCAAGTTGTCCAAAAGCTTTTCTGCACTGACTTAGTAAAGTGGCTACCAATTAGTGATCCTTGAACTATTTATTATGTATAACATTTGCAGTTGTCTTCCTTGAATTTTTAGTGATCAGAGCACATGAAGCATGGTATAATTTAATGGTTTGTGGTAGTTCCTTTTCCCAAAATGTTCAGTAGTTTCTTGCCAGGCAAGTAAAGAATGGAGTTTGGTGTTTTTTGCTTGGTCTAAAGTGGCTGAATTTGTCTCCCACAACCTAAAGAGTGTCCCAGGCACAGATCTACAGTCTTCTCTGGGGTGGGAATGCTTACCCTTCTCCTGGGAAAATGGTGCTACTGCATGGAAAAAGAATTTAAATTAGTTGGGCCAGAGAGGTAAGAGTAAGAAGTAGTATGATGCTGGAGCATTTACCTCTGAATGGATAACTGTACTGCAGTTCCTGCTG